GTTGATATTAACTTCCAATCTGCACTTTTCCCCTTCTTCGCTCATAATAATATCCATGTATGTTGATTCCAACCAGTCTTTATATTCTTCATCATATCTTTATATTGGCCACTTCGTTTCGAACTATCATTAATGTTGAGCATTCTGGTTGAAATTTTCAGGTGAAGAGTGAATGGCTTCATAATGCTGGAGCTGGAGTAGTTTGTCATGTCATAGACAGCATAAAAGAACAAGAAACTGAAGACACATTTTACGCTTGTAGCTCTTGTGATTCAACACATGAGTTTTAACTCACATATGTGATTTCTTTTTCCTGTTAAACCTGTTTTGCACCTCTACCAAAACACAAGTATACAACTCCGGAAGGAACATGGCATTGGGCGTGTAAGTATGCTTGAGCTTCACCTATGCTGTTCCGACCCCTAAAATCTAGACACAGTCTTTGGCATTTATCTATATGAATCCATTACATCTAAAATTAGCATCTTAGAGTCAAGAATCAATGTGTAACTGTCTTGTACATTCGCTCAGATTCATGCTCTTTACTGTGCTCATCCTCTGCTGACTCTGCGTGACATTATATGTTTCCATACCCAGAAAAGGGACCAATGAATGCTCCAAACCTACAATTTCATCAAGCAGGCTAAGACAAAATAAAGAAACAAAACGGTCAGCTATATAAGCCTTGTTAACTGGACATAGGGCTGGACTCGGGCCGGTTCGGGCCTGGGCCCGGCCGGGCCTCGGGCCAAAAAATTGGGGCCCGAGCCCGAACCGCCGGTGGCCGGTTCCGGTTCCGGTTCTGGGCCAAACCGGGCCGGGCTGAACCGGTCCATTTTTTTTTGTTCTCCTATTTAACCCCCTCCCCCTCAACCCCAAACCACCTCAAATGGCCCAAAATACCTAATCCAACCCAAAACTTAAAAAAATTTCAAAAAAAAAAAAAATTAAAATCCGGCCCGGACCGGGCCCGAACCGGCCGGGCCGGTTTGCCTAAAGCAGGGCCCGAGCCCGGATCGCCCATCACCCGGGCCGGGCCAAACCGAACCGCTGGACCCACCGGGCCCCGCGCCGGGCCGGGCCAAACAGTAACCGGGTCGGGCTGCCCGGCCCGAGTCCACCCCTAACTGGACACTTCAGAATTCAGATAAGAACTATCCAAAAAGTACACTTTGAAAACTATAAAATATGTTACGTTTGAAAGCAAATTTAAAAAAAATGTATAAAAAACAAACAAGTCCAAAACCCAATACGTACATGATTTGCATCCATGGGAGTTGTGCTAAACATTATCTCTTGTTACCACAGTATCTTATATGTGATACGGTATATCTTATGTTGGGCCGATATGATATACCTTGCAGAATGGTTTCTGGTTGAAGCAGGTCATGTTTAATATATGTCTGCACTTTTGGAGGTCTCAGTTTGACCGGCTCCTTTGAACATGATGAACTGATAACATTAAGTCATTACAATGCCAATTATAGAGTTACAGTCATACATAGGCCTGGACTTGGGCCAGGCCTCGGTTCAGGAAAGGGGAGGCCCGGAACCGGCCCGGGTAACCCCGGGTCCGAGTCGGGTCGGGCCGGGTCTCGGTTCAATTTTTTTTTTGCCTTTTCCTAATTAACTCCTAACCCCCCTCACCCCCAAACCATCTCAAATGACCCAAAATACCCAGCCCAACCCAAAAACTTAAAAAAAAAAAAAATAATAATAATAAAATGGCCCGGATTGGGTCCGAACCGGCCGGGCCGGTTCACGTTTTGAGGGGCCCGAGCCCGGACCGGAACCCCAGCGGGTCGGGCCTACCCGAACCGGTCACTGACCGGGCCACCGGGCCGGAACAGTGCCGGTTCGGGCCGGTTCCGGGTCGGGCCACCCGGCCCGAGTCCAGGCCTAGTCATACAAACTCACAAGTTTCTACAGATTTTGTTTACTCAAATAGATTAATCGGTGTTGGTTTCAAGGCTTCAAGCAATGTACATTTATAGATTATAGGTCTAGTTTTCAACCCATTAAGATAATTATAAACAATAATATTGAAAAAAATAATTAAAAAAATATTTTATATATTTTTGAAAAAAATATATAAAAGTAATGCAAAACTAGTATCCTGTACAACCTACATATTGTGTAACAGATTTTGTTTGTAGTTGTTTGAAATATTAAAGTAATGCATCCCAAAATGAAGTACAATGTAGGTTTACTATTTCTTCCTTAAGACAACTCCATTTATTAATCTAATTTTATACATCGAACTTTTATTATATTACATATTTGCATTTCAAAAATCAAAAGTCTTACACTAATTTATCATGAATTGACACATATGTTTGTTAGGACTCTACTAATATTTTCATGGCAAAACCGCTTTGGTATATATTTTGGCTCGATTTTATTGCAAGATATTTGGAAGCTGACACGAAGCCGGAAAAAATAACCGTTTTGATATTGCTTTTGTTAGAGATTCAAATACTTGTCAAATAATCCGATCATGAACCCATTAACGAAAATAAACTAGACTATTATATTCAAGGATGTTTATCAAGTGCTGAAATCAAACGATGAACATATATCGAGCTAAATCCAAATCCAGATTGTATAGTTTGTCGAGCTAGATCTTGAACCCAAACACCACAATTATCTGAATGAGTCGAACTTGTGACAACCGTTATTTTAGAGAGAAAATAGATTATAGTCGAACTTGGGCAACTGTAAGCCAATCATGATTAACGATGTACGCTCGTCACTTATCCTATGTTGTACTTGCAACATGCCAAAAGTAAAAGTCAAACAACAGAGTCACCCCGGGTAAACACAACCCAGTAAAAATATAATCCAAACTACTTGAAGGAAAAAACAAAAACAAAAACATAGTAATGTAACGAAAAGACTTGTAAAGGAGACTCAGGTGAGTCTAAATTCCCAGGCCCGCTCCTCCACGTTTTTTTGGTGCATCCTTATGTCATTTTAGATTGCTTTTTTTTAGATAATATTTGAAATCAAAACGATCCTCAAGTTTTGAATACTAAATAAATTTGCTCCTTCAATTGAAAACATATTCACTCCGTCCTTATGTTATCTTCAAACTTTTATTTTCCGTCCGTCCCAATATTATCTTCACTTTCCCTTGGCTAAGAATTTGTGCTTCACGGCAATTCTTACGCATTTCACTCTCTTCCACACAATTCTCCACCACACAATACTCATTATCTTAGTTTGTATGTCATGTGTACTTGAGAAAATAAATTAGGGATGGAGGGAGTATTATTTTTAGCAACTTATGTGATTTTTAAACACTCATATATGAGCTGATATTAATCAACCATGCTAGAAGCAGAGACACAGTTCTGTAACCTAAATTAATCCATATATTAATCGAAATACAAGGGCCTATTTTTATTATTTTTTATTGTATTCATTTAGTACCTCTACTGATTGTGCACGTTCAGCTAATGATCTATTGCAATATACTTCATCACATGATGTAATAATGGCCGTTCCTCACAATTTAGGGGCCATATTTGAATATAATCTTACAAGTAGAATAATTTTTCAATGAATTCCGCAATGATGTGTCCTTGCTGAATTTTCTAGCACACAATGCTCTCAATTGCTATAAAAACTAATTTATCAAGTCTTTTATCGTACGAGGAGGTCTGAGCAGATTCGATTTCGGCGGCAAGATTTTCCGTCAAAGAACAAAAGCGGAGTCCGATTCTAGCCTGAGGTGTTTCGCTGGTGGGTTAGGAGGCAGTAGGGGCTGTATGGAGCGCATGGTTGATCGATACAAGAAGATGATTATTGAAGAGGATGCCGAGGTGTTGGATCAGGATGAAGCTTAGCTCAAAGATATTCCGGTTGAGGTGACTCGGCCCAGGCAAGGAGCAGAAGATGCTTCAGTACTATTGGACCGCCCCCTCCTGAATTGCCGCCATGGAGTGCTAGAGAGTTTAGGGTTTGGAAACAATATTTTAATTTTACGATTTGCTAGCTTTTTATTTTTCATGATGAGACTATTTATTTTTCTGTTGATTACTTTGATTGTTGTAAGACTCTTGTATTAGGATTGGATGATGGGAGATCTTCTTTAACCGTCGTTGGCTCATTTATGTCCATTATAGGATCAGCGAGTTATATTGCTTTTTTGGAGGTGATTGACTCTAAGCAGTCATGGACCCGGGCTAGGCCTAGGCCCGGTCAGGTCTCAGGTTTTTTGAAGGAGGCTCGGGACCGGCCCGGGTAGCCACCGGGTCCGGGCCGGGCCTCGGGTAGCCACCGGGTCCGGGCCGGGCCTCGGGTAGCCACCGGGTCCGGGCCGGGCCTCGGGTCAATTTTTTTTCCTTTTCCTAATTAACCTCCCCCTCACCCCCAACCCCCCAAACCACCCCAAATGGCCTAAAATACCCAGCCCAACCCGAAAAGATAAAAAAAATTGAAAAAATAATAATTAAAAAGCCCGGAACCGGGCCCGAACCGGCCGGGCCAGTTCGACTTTTGGGTAACCCGAGCACGCACCGGGAACCCCCAGGGCCGGGACTACCCGGACCGGTCACTGGCCGGGCCACTGGGCCGGGCCAGCACAGTACCGGTCCCGGGCCGGTTCCGGGTCGGGCCACCCGACCCGAGTCCAAGACTAACTCTATGTATGGTTTGAGGGCTGGCGGTTGCCTGTGATCTTTTTGTTGTTTTACCCCTATCTGAATGATGTGATAGTAATTTAAGACACCTGACGATTAAAAAAAAGTCTTTTATGGAGTATTTCAAGTGTCAAAACTAATTGCTATAACTTGGGCCCTACTGTTTTTTAGGCCCATCTCAAAGACTCGCTATCCCAAAGAAGGCTCTTATTGCACTGATTGCAGTGTTTCCTACCACACCAACTTGCCTTTCAACGGACAAGGGCAGATGGAGCCCTATGTTTTTGGGTGCAATTTTTTTCATGTTCTTATTGCAGTACTACTATGCGCAGCTACTTTAACACATACCAACATGAACGATTTCTAAGCAGCTAGAACTGACTGAACCACTACAAATAGTTGACTTCTGATTCTATGATCCAATGACTTCAAAATATTATTGCACATTACTAATATGCTTCATTATTTTTGTCTAGAGTCTAGACTCTGGATTTGTATAGCACCAATGTGTTCACTCAGCAAGTACACATTCATCTAGTCGGCTTTTATGCAACTGAAACGCAGGGTTAACCCATGCTCCACAATTGCACTGAATGCCTGCCCAATTGTAGCACCCCAATCGTGCTTTGCAGCCCAAACAATGAAGCTTAGCTTGCAGATTCCCTTCCTCCACTACAAAATGAGAAGTGGAATGTAAGACTCAAAGAAAAAAATAAAAAAGAAGCATGGTTTCAATGCAAGACTACACAGTACATGTTTTCATCCACTTCATGGGTTCCACAAAAATAGACGAGCATTCTGGTTCACTATCACCATCGCTCGCCCTTTTCCAGCTGTTACTTTTTTTAGTACCTCCGCGCTCATGAGAAACAACTCGTTCTGCCGAAGCAACAATTCTTCGGCATTTCTTGCACCGGTATATGACTTTAGGTTTTGGTTCCGGATCAGGTATTGAGGTTTCTATTGCAGTTTCCATTTCGGTCTTGCAATCTGTTAAGGTCATGAAGACAATTTTTAAACTAAGAAACAGTGAAACAAGAGGATATATGCAATGAGCCAAAGACCAGTGGAATATCATTAAGTATGCAGTAACAAAGACATGATGCCAAGCAACATTTTACAGCATACAGCATCTAACACTTTTCCTTCCCAAACAGATAGCCTATGTTCGAAATTTGGGGAACGGTAGGGAAAGGAAAACATACTACATTTACCAAGGAAAGCGACTCTTCATGCTTGGTTTTAGCTTAGAATATATGAAGGAGAATCAAATTACATAGAAACTTTTCAAATCTTTACATATATTTAGATTCTACAGCCTTTATGTAACTGAAGTCCTTATATAATACAAGGGGTTTGAATAAATGTCATATATTTTGTTAGAAAGCAACTATTTTTTACTTCCAAATTTAATTCCTTCCATGTTGTTCCTTTCTAATTTCCTAGCAATACTTTGTCGCTTCAGCGTTTCCTGGGTTCAAAACAGATCCTTAGGATGGAATCTTTACATGCTTAATACGGAGTATTAAACTCTGTATTATTTATTGCTTTATTGAGACGATATCCATCTCTTTAAGCATAGAACTACATAACATGTGTGATTTATAAACTCTGACTGTGTAGTCACTCATAAATAACTTTGTAACTGACCAGACATCTGGTCAGAGATTATTAAGTAAATTTCTGGTATTTATTTTAATCCATTTCATACAAAAGACACATGCATTTCTTGTAGCTTACACAAAACCAAAGGCGGCTAGACATGCAAACAGAGACCAGTGCTTGATGCAATTATGCAAATACATTATCCATCATAAGCTTCCTGAAGAGAATTTAAAGTTTTAACCCATAAGATAAAGTGAACTAGGAATGTTCACTTTTTCGCACACATCTCTGCATAAATTTTTTTTATGCCGTAGCAATAACGAAATAGACGTCAAAATGCAGAAAACCGTAAAATTAATAGACAATAGTGTTTTTAAAAATTTAAAAAAGTAGATAATTTGATGTGCGCCACAATAGATAATCCTACTATTAATTTAAAAAACTTGACAAACAAAACACATATTCTTATATATATAGCCGAATCAGCCTGTCATGCACTTATATAGATTCATTATATTGGTATGAAGTGTACATGCAGAGTGGGGTATTCTTACTCATCTTCAAAATATATATAGGGCTCATAGAAGAGCTGTAGAGGGTTGTTTAAGATCTGGAATGAATTAACTAACGATAAAAAGGTCTACGATCTGGATTATTTCATATCTGTACGATTTTTCAGCAGCGAGGGAGAAGATGAAATACTAGGATTTGGTATGGAATTAAACACGGTGAATCACTGCATTGTCGTCGAATAGGAGGCCAGCGCCAAGGCGAAGCAGAGCTTCTGGAAATAAATGTGATTATTTTGTTGGGCTTCTGTCTAAATTCCCAACATAGAATGTCATATTGGCCCGAAGATTCATCAGCTCAATATTTAGTGGTAATTACCCGTGTGAGCCTCTTTTGTCTACTGCATTTCGTTTATAGCCCATGACTTTGGGCTTGTTTATTAACAGAAAATTGGAAAACAGGAAACAGGAAACGTGTTTATCAAAGAAATTCCTGTAAAACTGGAGAAAGGAAAAAAGAAAAACGCATTTACCAAATCGTTTTCCAAAACGGAAAAAATGAAACATGTCGCTCTTTTCCTTAATGATTTGGAGAAGTGACTTTTACTAGTTTTCCAAATTTGGAAAATGCAGATGCTACAGTGCCTTTGCAATGAATTTGCATACTTACACCTAGTGGTGGGTCCGGTCCTGCTCCGATGTCGATTCCATTCCGATACCTCCATCCTCGTACCTTACCACTTACCCCTACCCTACCCTACCCTACCCTACCCACCCAACCCCCACCCCGCGTACCCATTTTTCCCTATAGTGACCTTACCCCACCCCCCACCACATGCCCCGACGTCGGCCCCACCCAAATCCACCCCACCCTTCCGCCACCCCTACCACCTCGACCCCACCTCGATCCACCCTACCCTACTGCCACCCCCGACCCACCCTACCCTACCCCCACCCCTCGTATATTACCACTTACCCCTACCTTACCCCTTACCACATGCCTCCTACCTCGGCCCCACCCCACCGCCATCCTATCCCCACCCCCGTACCGCCATCCTACCCCCCACCCTACCCTACCCCTACCTTACCCCAACCCCAAACCCTACCCACTACCCCACCCTTACCACCATCCTACCCCCACCGCCATCCTACCCCTTCCCTACCCCAGCCCCACCCTGGTCCCGACCCCACCCTACCGCCATCCTATCCCAACTCCCTACCCTACCCCTACCTTACCCTAACCCCAAACCCCACCCACTACCCCCACCCATACCGCCATCCTACCCCCACCCTACCCCGTCCTCACCCTGGTCTCGACCCCACCCTACCGCCATCATATCCCAACTCCCTACCCTACCCCTACCTTACCCCAACCCTACCCACTACCCCACCCTTAACCCTAACCACGACCCTAATCCACCCACTACCCCCACCCAACCCCCTACCCCTAGACCTTACCACCCCACCCTGACCATACCCCTTACCCCACCCCCATCCATAACTTCCCTACCCCGACCCCTACGAGTAGGTATGGGTGGGTATGAAGGGTTGTGGTGGAGTATGGGTAGAGTGTAAGATCGTGGTAGGGGTAGAGGTAAGGGTCAAGGGTGTGGAATTGGAGAACTGTGTGAAAAAATTGATGAACATGTTTTCAAATTTGAAAATGAAAAACTAAAAAATAGAAACATAAAATTGGAGATAGAAAAACTGAAAAATAAAAACAGAAAATTGGAGAACGAAAAACAGAAGTAGAAAACAGGAAAATATCTCTGTTAGTAAACATGAGCTTACATTTTCATATCTAGGATTTCACCTTTTCAGTTTTGTTCTTCTGACTTTTTTTATATTTCAAAAATAGTTTCTCTCAAAACTAAAGCCTAACCCCTAAGTCGGTTCAGATCGGAGCTGTCTACGTAGGCGGAGATGATTTTGGGCGCTGCTATTTCAACCTTCATATTTACCGATTTCAATTCGGAGATGGAGAAGGAGGTTCCTTGCGTCTCCGTCGGTATCTTCTCCGTCTTCTCCATCGGCATCATCTTCGTCTTCTCCGATTTCAATTCGGAGATGGAGCAGGAGGTTCCTTGCGTCTCCGCCATTCAACTGTCACGGAATCACAGGTTGCGGAATTCATCTCCGTCTTTGCCATCGACCTAAAGCATCTTCTAAAAATCTTCGAAAGTAAATTCTCTAATTACTTTATTTGAATGAAATAGGCACACGACATTCTAAATCCTTGGGAGACGGCAAAACGAGCACAGAAAGAGGGCATAAATCTAGGCGCTTTATCTCTCTTAGTTTTCACTTCTATTGCTAGCATTTCGTGGTTTCTATCCTCCTTCGGTCATGAGTGACACCAAAGACAACCTCGATATGTCCGATCTCCATGCTGCTTTGAATTTAGATGATAGAGCTGATTTTGTTAGTGGTCTAAAAATAAGGTTCAGGATCTTACTGGAAAATACTCGTTTTGCTCGAGAACTTCTCTCCAATTGTTAGAAAGTGTGTTGATGATGTTCTCAGAGAGGGCAACACTAGAAGCTAAGTTCCAGAATGTGTAGAGGAGCATTCTAAAGGGGATGTTGAAGGAGGTGAAATTGTAAATGGAGTTGATGTTGAAGGAGATGAATCTCAAATGCGCAGAGGAGCTCCAAAATATGATGGAGCATGACTTTGAAAATGGTTCAACTATTTGAGACAATCATTCCACCTGTTGTGTCTTGGTTCAAATGTGAGGCTGTTCAAAGAGAACTTGAAATAGATGATGAAGACGAAGATAAAGACAATGAGGAAGATGAAGACGATGATGAACAATTGAACAAGATGAGGAAGAGGAGGAAGATGAAGATGCCAACCCCAAAAAAAAGTCTCCTGCTACATATAAGAAAAGATTATAAGGTGCTTATATCTATATACAACAAATCCTCAATGCAAAGAGTTTAAATAGGTACTAACTGTCGCCTTATATCTCATCTTCTTAGTTAAATCAAGATAATTGTCGCCTTCTATTTATCTTTTGATGTAGCAATGAGTATAATGGTATCCTCACCATAGTCACATGGTTCACGGAACGATTTGAAACGGGAACGGGGAACAGGAACGTGGTTCGCTAGATCTAGTGTATCCGGTTCGGAGGGGTAGGTTCATTCCGGTACGCGTTCGGTACGGTGTACCACATGTTGGGTACACTGTATATTATATTTTGATACATATATAAACCTGAATTTCATATTTCATAACTCATAACATTAATCAAAAACCTGTATATTATATTTTGATACATATATAAACCTGAATTTCATATTTCATAACTCATAACATTAATCAAAAACAGATTTCATAATCATAAATTATAACATTCAACGAAATAGAAAAAAAACATTAATATTCCAATAAAAAACATTAACAACCTGAAAACAGTACCACAATGACTGAACTACTAAATAGTTCGTAGGTCTTGATTACATTGAGCAAAAATCGAAGAGCCTAGTCATGGCTGTAGAAACGACTCTGTAAAACGATTCCAAGTCTCAAATTCAAATGAACGCGCCTGTCTAGTTTTCCGCACAGATATCCGCACAGCAAACGACGAGTCTGGATGCGTCTGGTTCAGAGATCGTGATTCAGCGCATTGCCGATGGTCTTGCGGTCGAGACCAGGTGCGTTTGGGAACGACCCCTGTAGCGATGCGGAACGACCTCTGAAGCGATTGAGATCAATTGGCGATGCGTTCCGACCTGCGATCCGACCTGCGGTTGGAACGCTTTCGTACCGCGTTTGGGTACGCGGCGTTCAGATCGTAGATCGCGTAGGTCTGATCAATTTATGTTTCTCACCCAGATCAAGTTTTGTAGCAGGTGACTATTAAGACACTGGCATTGGAATGGAGCAATAAAATTATTATTGCTGGACTTCATAAGTTTCTTGTACTTTAGTATAAATTGTAATTACAATTTCAATCATAAATGTTGACAAATAAGTTGAAGTATATATATTAATCGAACACTTGTGTGTTGTAATTATATTCATTATGTTAATTGTTGTGTGGTGCATTTTGTTTCATCATGTTGTATTTTGTTTCATCGTGTTTCTTTTTGTTGCTTAGTGTTTCTTTTTGTTGCATAATTTTCTTTTTGTTGCATATAGTTTCTTTTTGTTTCATAGTGTTTCTTTTTGTTGCATCATGTTTCTTTTTGTTGCATTGTGTTGCTTTCTTTGTTTTTTGTTGTTGAATTGTGTCACTTTTTGCGGTGTGGTGTTGTTTTTGTTGTTAAAAGTTGATTTCTTTTTAGTTATTTAATCAGGTTTCAACACCTAAAATAATATATTTGATTTATGAAAATCAATAACAAAAACAAAAATAAACAATCAAAAACAATTTTTTTAAACCAATTAACAACAAGAAACAATATGCATAAAAAAGTTACAAAGAAATTATAACATCAATAATTGAATTGTGTAGCTGTTTAAAAAAAGATAGTATTAAATTACAAAAAAACAAATATTAAATTATTCATTTTTTATGTTTTTAAAAATTTTATTTATTTTAAATTTTATTTGAATTTATATATTTAAACAGATTTTAGTTTAGTTAATTTCTTATTTTCTAAAATTTTAAGATTTTTAATTTCTATTTTAGTTTTATTGATTATAATTTGAATTCTTTGATTTTTTTTAAATTTTATATATTTATTTGAAGTTCTTATATTCTTTTTTACATTGCATATATCCTGGTTTTGAAAAAATTAATCACAAAAAATTGTACCTACTTTTGATATTTTATAAAGAAATTTGGCTGAAGGAAGGAGACATTAATTCCCACTTTTTTTACAATGCGGTAAAACAGAGACGAAGGAAAAATAAACTTGTGTCACTATCTATAAGTAATATAACCCCTTTCGATCTCTCAATTTTCTCTAAGTCTTAACACTATAGAGTCGAATCCCCATACCAGTTATCTTCAAGCTATTCATTTCCATCTAAGATGTATTTTGAAGCCAAGAAAGTGTTAATTCAAATAAATCTTCTAGTAAGTGCGTTTCTACCGATTCTTCCGATTTCTTTTATTTTCTTCAATTTCTCTCTCCTAAATTGTAAACCTAGAATCCTAGGAATTACAAAGGTCATGTGTGTGATCTCTCAAGTTAGGATTCACGTTTTGATTTCATTGCTAGCCTTGAGGTAATTAAGTACCAATGTTGATCAAAATTACCACTTTGCCCCTATTACGATTTAAGTAGGGTTTGAGCTATGATTTGAGATTATTTATGAAATTTTATGTGTAATTAGGCTATGTTAAACTTATATGAGTATGAT